ATAGACAAGGTCTTTTCCCCCCAGGGTGGGGGAGTCCAAAACTAGAGGGGAATAGGTTTAAGGTGAGAGGGGGAAAGATTTAAAAGGGACCTAAGGGGCAACTTTTTCACACAGAGGGTGATGCATGTAAGGAACGAGCTGCCAGAGGAAGTGATGGAGGCTGGTATAAATACAACATTTAAAAGGCATCTGGATGGGTATGTGAATAGGAAGGGTTTAGAGGGATATGGGCCAAATGCTGGCAAATGGGACTAGATTAATGTAGGATATCTGGTCAGCATGGACGAGTTGGACTGAAGGGTCTGTTTCTGTGCTGTATATCTCTATGACTCTGACTCTAAATTCCACATGGGAATAAAAATCATCTTCAATTTATTTGTTCTTCTTTTAGGCCTCCTCACTAGTCAAGTCAAGTTGTCCGAGTTTGGTTTCTCTTCCTAATTCAGAATGTTTCCTTTTCTATCTCCAGTTTTGCAATCTCTTGCATCAGTTTCAGGTTTTCCTCCTTTTAGCACTAAATATTGGATAATGATTTCAAGCATCTCCTTATGAGAAGCTGCTTTTATTTTCACCTTCAAAGCATCTCACAAATTTTGAAATGTGGTTGCCATTGAATAAGTTCAGTGACTGAACACGCAAGAAGCTGCCAGTGTATTTTTATCCACGGAACATAAGTTTATTGCACAAACGAAACAAAACCAAAAAAGCTGTGTGACAGCATGGGACTATCTTGCGATAAGCAGCAAAATGACCGATTCAACCCACAGTTTCCCCAGCAACATCCTTAACAGATACTCAACCCCAGTGGATATCACTCCTAGCTTCACTCGTTAATTTCTTAGTTGATGAGCGCACAGACTTTTCCTTACCGAGCATGAACCAAATGTGATTCTCCTCACCCCCTCCCAGAGATGTGGGGGGGTGCTGAATTGTTATGAAATTCAGCAGAGAGTGTTATTTTTGGAGCGTTTTGTGAAAGATTTCCCACTGTAGGTTTTAGTGAATTTTCCCATGCACTGTTATACAGTTTCATAATCTGCAGATGGTTCTTCTGACAAACTGGCATACACATCCATAGCTGCACACATCAGGACACTCTAACATTTCAATTGCACTGGGCAGTTACAGAAGTGCCCTCCTCTGCCAGGACTTGATTGTGCCCATGTCTCCAATGGTATATTGAGTCCCCAGCATGTCAAACCATGCCAGTCTGGTGTGACATAGCCACCCAGGGTGTCCCCATCAGTGTCGCAAGAAGACTAATACCATTCTGTGCTCCACAGGTTAAATGCCAGCCTTTTCTCTCTGCCAGCTCACACGCACTCCATCTGTTCCCTTGTGCCCACCTCCAACCGAGACTTGAAACCCCACTACTGCTTGCTGCAACCACTCTCACTGGCTCTCGCTCATACCACCTCCTCCCAACCCTTCCTACCTCCTGCACTCCCTCCTCACTCACTCACTCATTCCTGACCAGACCTCCACCTGACTGGCCACAGTCTCTATGGACTGCCCCTACTGGACCTTCAGATATGGCCATTTGGCTGAAACGTGGGCGGTGTGTTTGCTTGTGGGTCGTTGCTGTTGGATATAAGTGTGATATCGACGGAGCTAATATCACAATAAAGTCCACTGCATTGCCCGCAAACCCCTCCCACACAACCACCACCGCCGCCCCTCCTCCACCCACTCTCCACCACAAGCTGTACATTGCTGGTGACCGACAGTTATTTGGCCTTTTGTCCACTTGAAATTACACAACCATCAGCAAACATCCCCTTCTGAATGTAGGAAGATTGGACTATTTCCTAAACAGGAAAATCTGAAGCACAAAGGGATTTGGGGAGTCCTAGCTCAGGATTCTTTCGAGGTTAACGTGCAGGTTCAGTTGGAGTTTAGGAAGGCAAATACAATGTTAGCATTCATTTCAAGAGGAATACAAGAACAGAGATGTACTGTTTAGGCTCTGGTCAGGCAGCATTTGGAATATTGCGAGCAGTTTTAGGCTCTGTATCTAAGGAAGGATGTGCTGGCCTTGGAGGGAGACAAGAGGAGGTTTGTAGGAATAATCCCAGGGATGAAGGGCTCGTCATATAAGGAAAGGTTGAGGGCCCTGGGTCTGTACTCGACAGAGTTAGAAGGATGTGGGGGTGGATTTGTTCAAAACTTATAGAATACTGAGAGGCCTGGATAGAGTGGATGCTTCCACCAGGAGGAGAGACTAGGATCTGAGGGCACAGCCTCAGAGTGAAGGGATAACGGTGAGATGAGGAGGAATTTCTTCAGCCAGAGGATGGTGAATCTGTGGAACTCATTCACAGAGGGCTGTGGAGGCCAAGTCATTGAGTGTATTTAAGATGGAGATAGACAGGTTCTTGATTAGAAAGGGGATCGAGGGTTACGGGGACAAGGCAGAAGAATGGGGTTGAGAAACATGATCGAGTGACGGAACAGACTCGATGGACCGAATGGCCTAATTTTGCTCCTGTATCCTTGTGGTCTTATGGAGATTGTTGGGCCGAGGCCACTCCCTTGAAGATGCCCAGCTTCCTCAAAAGAAAACAGCTCCAGATTCAGCACAATCCATTCCGTCCCCAGTTCAAGCGAAGTGGATTTGCTAACATTGTTTTTGGGTGAATCTTTGATTTCGCAATGGGGCGCGAGTCAGGAATAGGTTAGTCATATTCGCAGCCGGCTTCTTGTGGTTTCCTATTCCTGCTGCTTTCATGACATTTTTAAACAGCAGGTTCCTCTTTAAGTCGGAAACGTGTGGCACGTTCCAAATGTAACCCCCAACCTGAGAGTGAGAAACAGGACACTCGGGGAGAGACAGAGAGGGAGGGAGAGAAAGACAGACGGAGAGAAATTGAAAGGGATAAGAGACCGAGAGAAGGAACGAGGCAGGCAGAGCAGGGGAAACGAAACTGGGATGGAGACAGACAAAGATAGATATACATCAAGATGAACAACGATGTACAGAAATGGAGAGAGATGGGAGAGCGTGGGGAGAGAGATGACTGAGAGAGGGATTAAGATAAGGAAGAAGAGGGGATGGGGTTGACCACTTGAGATAAGGAGGGATAGAGGACGCAGGGAGATACTGAGATAAGGAGAGACAGAGGAAAGGGGACACGCGGAGATCAGGAGTGAGAGAGGATGGAGGAGATTGTGAGATATGGAGAGACTCTGAGATAGGTAAAGTTAGAGAGGATGGGGGAGACTTTGAGATAAGGAGAAAGAGACAGGTTGGGGGAGACTCTGAGATAAGGGGAGAGAGAGAGAGAGCGGACACAGGAGTTAAGGAGAGAGAGTGTTGGAGGACTGGGGAGACTGTGAGCTAATGAGAGAGAAAGAAGTTGTGGGGGGAAGACTGTGAGATAAGAAGAGAGAAAGGACAGGGGAAAGTCGAAGATAAGGAAAGAGAGAGATAGAGAGATAGAGAGGACAGAGGGACACTCTGATAAGGAGACCAAAACTGCACACAATACTCCAGATATGGTCTCACCGAGGTCCCTGGACAATTGCATCAAGATTTAGCAGATAGACTCAGAGATAGTAGAAGCTGCTGATGCTAGAGTCTGAGATAACAAGGTGTAGAGCTGGATGAACACAGCAGGCCAAGCAGCATCAGAGGAACAGGAAAGCTGACGTTTCGGGTCTTGACCCTTCTTCAGAAATGAAAATAAACTGTTGCCTTTTACACCTCTCCAGGGCATGATGACCATAGCTCTATCGCTTTTGTGATCAGACCTGACACGAAGACCTTTTCCTGTTTCAATGTTGGCAAAATACACTTCAAAAAGTGTGAAATTCCAGCAGGATGGGGTCTTTCCCTCCGTCAGCGTCCTTCTCAGCATCTCCCCGAGAGGGATGGTGACCCTCAGGTTAAACTCACCACATTATCTCTCTCTAATGAGAGAGCAGCTCTATGGTCTTGTAGGAGCATGGCAATGTAACTTCTATTAGTGACATTACACACAATGAATCCATATTCCAGAGAAAAGTTCAATTCATTAATAAGGTTCAGAATGAAAAGCTGATGACTGTTTGCTGTTTATAAAAATAAAACCTGTCTGGTCTCTAAGGGAAGCACATCTGTGGATGTAGCCCAAATCGAGCCTCCAGACACACAGCGGCGAACTGGAGTATCATTTATTCACTTGTGGATGTGGGCGTCTCTGGCTGGGCCCAGCATTTATTGTCCCCTGTCCCGAGTTGCCCCCCTTGAGAAGGTGGGGGTGAGCTGCCTTCTTGAACCCCTGCAGTCCATGTGCTGTGGGTTGACCCACAATGTCCCCTTAGGGAGGGAATTCCAGGGATTCTGACCCAGCGACACTGAAGGAACGGCGATATATTTCCAAGTCAGGATGGTGAGTGGCTCGGAGGGGAACTTGCAGGGAGTGGGGTTCCCATGTATCTGCTGCCCTTGTCCTTCTGGATGGAAGTGGCCATGGGTTTGGAAGGCGCTGCCTGAGGATCTTTAGTGAATTTCTGCAGCGCATCTTATAGATGGTACACACTGCTGCGACTGAGCATCGGTGGGGGGAGGGAGTGGGATGTTTGCGGATGTGGTGCCAATCTAGCGGGGGCTGCTTTGTCCTGGATGGTGTCGAGCTTCTTGAGTGTTGTTGGGGAGTATCCCATCACACTCCTGACTTGTGCCTTGTAGATGGTGGGACAGGCTCTGGGGGAGACAGGAGGGGAGTTACTCGCTGCAGGATTCCCAGCCTCTGACCTGCTCTTGTAGCCGCTGTGTTTATGTGGTGGGTCCATTTAAAACAGAGGCTGAAAGAGCAGACCAGAGACTGGGAATCCTGCAGTGAGTAACTCCCCTCCTTCACTCTTCAGTGTCATCAGAAATTGTTGAATCAGTTAATAACTGGCAGTGAAGATTGAGTCTCCCTCAGGGAAGAGAGAGGGATCAGTGTTACCCACACTGTAAATGTAGCTGCATCTGCAAAAGAGGTTGACTTCATCTCTCTCCGTTTCTCTTCATTTAGAAGCACTGCAGCCTCCAGAAATCTGTTACGTGTTGGATGCTGTCCTCTTTGCCTATGGAATTGTGCTAACAGCTCTCTACTGCCGTCTTAAGGTGAGGTCCAGAGGAGGGGTCAGTGTGAGCGAGCTGGGTTAACATCAGTACAGATACAGTCAGTAACACAGGGTGGGGGGGAGAGGGGATATTGAGTGACAGTGTGAGGGAGAGGGATTAACATTAGTAGGGATACAGTCAGTAACACAGGGGGCTGGGGGCGCGGAGAGGTTACTGAGTGACAGTGTGAGGGAGAGGATTAACATCAGTACAGATACAGTCAGTAACACAGGGGGCTGGGGGGAGAGGGGTTACTGAGTGACAGTGTGAGGGAGAGGGTTAACATCAGTACAGATACAGTCAGTAACACAGGGGGCTGGGGGGGAGAGGGGTTACTGAGTGACAGTGTGAGGGAGCTGGGTTAACATCACGCTCTTAAAAAGGGAAATGATTGAGAAAAACGTAGGGATGTCTGTTTGAGATATCCACATGAAATAAGTTTATTAAATCTTTGACTCTTTAACTGAATGCAGCTACAGATGCGCAAAAATGAAACAGCCACAGGATCGGTATATGAGGTAAGGAACGTGTGAGATATGTTGGATCTGTTTCTGAACTGGGGCAGGGTGACCAGGAAAACACATACAAACAGCAGATTACAGGATAGAAATAGACTAACAGACACAACATGGGAAAATTGTCAGTCTCCACAGTTCAATCAACAATCATTCTGCTAAGTCAAATTCAGACATTAGCCCACCACGTTCATGCTAAAACAGGCTGCACATTCAGTCAACACAAACATTATCCTACCCTAACACATAGATAGCAGGTAGGTGAGAGGGTTAATCCCCCTCCGATAGGGGAACAGACTGCCCGGTGTGTGTAAATGGGAGAGGGGGTGGGTGAGGGGGTTAATCCCCCTCCGATAGGGGAACAGACTGCCTGGTGTGTGTAAATGGGGAGGGGGTGGGTGAGAGGGTTAATCCCCCTCCGATAGGGGAACAGACTGCCCAGTATGTGTAAATGGGGAGGGGGTTAATCTGTGAATTTGTTTGGATGTGACAGGAAATCCATGCCAATCAGAAGGACATTTATCACGAAATAAAGCCAGGGAAAATGGAAACACAGAAGGAAAAGCCGGTGAGTAGAAATTTAGGTTTCAATCTTTACTTTCTCTGTCCCTGCCCTGGGAGTGTTTGATGGGGGACAGTGTAGAGGGAGCTTTAC